AAGCCGATCAACCCCAGCAATAATAGTCGTCCTCCCCAGGCCGGCCGTGTTGCTCCGGAATTCTTCGCGCGCTGCCGGGTTAAAAGAAGACCGGCCACGTGCCTGTGCGGCCTCGGCCAATGACAGGCTGCCGGCTGCCCGAGGTGATTACCACTGCGCGGCATCTGATTGGCTCTCTCGGCCCCGGTCCTCCCCGTCGGCAAGTGAATCGCTGATTATGTCAGCCGGACTCTTCGCTCTCTTCGCCAGAACCGACGATCCAAAAGTGCAGCTCGCAAAGCATCACCGGCCTTGACCTCGTCTCTCCTCTCCCCTCCCCCGTCTTTTTGTGCCGCTGGTTTCCCTTCCTCCACCACATCTCCCCTCCTTCGGACTCATTGGAAAAGTGTTTCTTTTCTCTTGATCCGTCACCATGAGCTCCTTGGGCTTGCGGAGCCTAGCTCCCGCATCGAAGGTCTGTATCCGACTTCTTTTGCCGTGATGCCGAATTCTGGCTCACCATATTCTCCTCTATCCTCAATGGTCTTACTGACTCGTCTTGTTGGCGCAGATTTCCCGCGCTTTGGGCCAGAGACGTCTCTTCTCCTCTTCCCGCCCGGCTGGTACGCATTGAACTCGCACATCCGCCCCTGCCTACGTTTGCTAACTGGTCCCTCCGCTAGCCCGGATATTTGGCAACGGCCCTCTGCGCGCCAAGGAGGCCGAAGGCTTCATTGCTCAGAAGTACCCTATCATTGTAAGCTACTATGTGGATATATCTTGTGGGAACGATGGTCGCTAATGCAATTGCAGGACCACGAGTACGATGCCGTCGTCGTCGGTGCTGGTGGTGCCGGTCTGCGTGCCGCTTTCGGTCTGGCGGAAGCTGGCTTCAACACTGCCTGTGTTTCTAAGCTCTTCCCCACGAGATCTCACACTGTCGCCGCTCAGGGTGGTATCAACGCCGCTCTTGGAAAGTGAGTTGCCCTGTATTGACTCCATTGCGAGTAGCGCTAATGGTCTGGCTTGCAGCATGCACGAGGATGACTGGAGATGGCACATGTACGACACCGTGAAGGGTTCTGACTGGCTGGGTGACCAGGATGCCATTCACTACATGACCAGAGAAGCTCCCGCTAGTGTTCGTGAGCTTGAGGGCTACGGTTGCCCCTTCTCCCGTACCGAGGACGGCCGTATCTACCAGCGTGCGTTCGGTGGTCAGTCGAAGGAGTTTGGAAAGGGTGGCCAGGCCTACCGTTGCTGCGCTGCCGCTGACCGTACCGGTCACGCCCTTCTCCACACCCTCTACGGACAGTCTCTCCGCCACAACACCAACTACTTCATCGAATACTTCGCCCTCGACCTTCTGATGGAGGACGGCGAGTGCCGCGGTATCATCGCCTACAACCAGGAGGACGGAACCCTCCACCGTTTCAAGGCCCACCACACCGTCCTGGCCACCGGTGGTTACGGACGTGCCTACTTCAGTTGCACTTCTGCTCACACTTGCACTGGTGACGGTATGGCCATGGTCGCCCGTGCCGGTCTCCCCAACCAGGATCTGGAGTTCGTCCAGTTCCACCCCACTGGTATCTACGGTGCTGGTTGCCTGATCACCGAGGGTTCCCGTGGTGAGGGTGGTTACCTGCTCAACTCCGAGGGTGAGCGTTTCATGGAGCGTTACGCCCCTACCGCCAAGGATCTGGCCTCCCGTGACGTTGTCTCCCGTTCCATGACCCTGGAAATCCGTGAGGGCCGTGGTGTCGGTCCCGAGAAGGACCACATCTACCTCCAGCTGAGCCACCTGCCCGCTAAGCTCCTGCACGAGCGTCTGCCCGGTATCTCCGAGACCGCCTCTATCTTCGCCGGTGTCGACGTCACCAAGCAGCCCATCCCCGTCCTGCCCACCGTCCACTACAACATGGGTGGTATCCCCACCAAGTACACCGGTGAGGTCCTGACCCAGGATGAGAACGGCAACGACCAGGTTGTCCCTGGTCTGTACGCTTGCGGTGAGGCCGCTTGTGTCTCCGTCCACGGTGCCAACCGTCTGGGTGCCAACTCTCTTCTGGATCTGGTTGTCTTCGGCCGTGCCGTCTCTCACCGTGTCCGTGACATTGCCACCCCTGGCAAGCCCCACAAGGAGCTGAGCTCCGACGCTGGTGCTCAGTCCATTGCCGACCTGGACTTCGTCCGTACCGCCGAGGGTCCCAAGTCCACCAACGACATCCGCAGCGCCATGCAGAAGGCCATGCAGTCTGATGTTTCCGTCTTCCGTACCCAGGAGAGTTTGGATGAGGGTGTTGAGAAGGTCACCGCTATCGACCAGATGTTCGACCAGGTCGGTACCAAGGACCGCAGCATGATCTGGAACTCGGATCTTGTTGAGACCCTTGAGCTTCGTAACCTGTTGACCTGCGCGTATGTATTCCTGCAGAATTTGGTAATGTTGGATGTTGGCTAACTCGAGTTATAGTTCCCAAACCGCCATTGCCGCCGCCAACCGTAAGGAGTCCCGTGGTGCCCACGCCCGTGAGGACTACCCCGACCGTGACGACGAGAACTGGATGAAGCACACCCTCACCTGGCAGAAGAAGCCCCACGGTGAGGTCAAGCTTGGCTACCGCGCCGTTGAGCACAACACTCTCGATGAGAACGAGTGCAAGTCGGTGCCTCCCTTCAAGCGTGTCTACTAGACGCGATGTATCAGCCTAGGGGATGGTGGAGGAAAAGAGCGTGACGAAAATTCGACCGTGTTTATTTGTGTGTTCATATGTGTATATCCAAGGTTTCTTTCCAGGCGATGAGTTTGGTGTACTCACGTGTATTGTCTTTTATAGCCGTTTACTACATCCCATACAATGGAGTTTTTGTGTTGAGCCACAGAGCGCTGTCTTCGTGCTAATGTCTTGCTGCAACTGGTAACTACATGTCAAAGGAGGGCTGGCGTCAGCGCTCGAATCCTCTTTGATCCTGCGGTCGAAGACAAAGAAACTTCATGACCCGCAGGGGGGCTTTTTCTTAAAGAACCCCTTAACGAAGAACATTGACCATAGACCCTCGCAGGATTCTCCAACAATAGATTCTAGTACTACCACTTCCGACCCTGTGGCAAGCAGGCGACCTTCTCGATCGGTCTTAGAGCTATTAAGACCGCAACGATGGATGCATCGGATTCGCCCCATGGAAAACATCCGGGTCCCTTGTCTGGACGGGGCGGAAATCCATCTCTTCGCGAGCTTCTCGGTTTGAGTTGGAAACTTTACCCACTGCGGGATGAGCAGAACAAAGAACGGGTTCAACATTCTGGACGGCGTCGCCCACTGTGGCTGGCACTGACTAAGTTTGCCTTCAAATCTTCAAGGAAACTCGATATTTCATCGCCATCGGCACATGTCGGTGAACATCAGATCATTACTTCGTTCGTTTAGATCTCTGACACTCGTTAAAAATTACCGTGCCCAACTATTGGGCTTTATTTGTTGTTTTTCAAGCGATATCTGCAGTGCTCGCAGCATGGCCCGTCTCGCTGTCCGCCAGAACGGGTCTTGCCCGGCCAATGCGCAGTGGTATGTCTGCGCTGCTGGTGGGTTCAAGGGCTGCTGTTCGGTCGATCCGTGCACGACGGGGGTTTGTCCGGATGAGAGTGGCAGCAGTGGCAGCAGTGGAAGCAGTGGAAGCAGTAGCAGTTCTTCTTCGGTGAATTCTGTTCCTGCTACGAAGGATGGGCCCGTGACTTTGACAACTTTGGTTCAAGAGCCTGCCACATCCATAGTATTTACTTCCTCTACATCGTCATCATCATCTACTCCTATTTCTTCGTCAGAAACCAGCACAGAGGCTCCATCATCTGTAAGGAGTACATCGACAGCCTCAAGAGCTTCTTCCACAACGATGGCCACAACCACATCCTCAACTCCAAATCAGGATCCTACCACCACACTCTCTTCGACAACATCAACACACTCTTCTCAGTCCACCACTACCCAAGCCAGCCTCGCAACATCCCAAGGCTCAGGCACATGGCACCCCACCGCAGCCCTAATAGGGGGAACAGTGGCCGGCGCAGTAGGCCTCCTCCTATTCATCATCCTACTAGTATTCTGCGTCCAGCGTGCTCGAAAGCGAAGACACCAGACATTTATATTGCTACGATGGCGCAGTGGACATAACAGCAAACCTGAGCCACCAAATGGTATACATCCTCAGCTTCACCCTGACCATCATATCCATACATACAGTAGTAGTAGACTAACCTATCGCCAGGGACCTCTCCCCGCCCACCACCAACAGCAAGAACCAGAAGAAGAAGCGCCTCCCCCCTACCTAAGTACACTCATCACACTCACACCCACAAGTACAAGCACGGTCACAGCCACACACCATCCCTCCCCCCCTTTACATTCCCCGACCCAGCACCCTCCTACCCCTACAAAAAGAACCGAGCCGCTGAGCTCAGCGACACGGGATTCTACCGACCTCGTGCTGAGCTCCCCGCTCAATCATCTCGGGAATTGATCAATATACCCCCTGAGAGACGATGTCGATGGGACTGTGATGGTGGGGATGGGGCCTCGGATATGATTGTTACGGCTGATGGGGCGGTCCTGAGGGCGACGATTAAGACAGTGGAGGCGGAAAGTCCTTTTGCTGTCTATGATGATGATGCTAGGACTACCACTAGGGATGAAGGTCCGCCGCGGTATTCTGGGATTGAGTATGGGATGAGCGGAGGGTGTAGGGTTTGGGAGGATGATAAGAATAGGATATAATATCACTTGGTAGTAATCTCTATGATAGTGCTGTGGTGCAGTGCAATGATGTATATAATGAGGGAATAATAATATTGGTCAAAAGTGAAGATCATAGTAACTGATTCGAGACGCTGCTATACGCTGGAGAAGTCTTTCCACTAATCATGTCGGACCGTGTACATAAATCTACGGATTGTCCCCCAAACCTTAAACTAATGCATAAGACAGCTATACAATCAGCCTGAGCAGGGCAATAGCAACAACCCTCTACTCAAAAACCATAACATTCCTCGTCGCACCCAGCCCCTCAACCACCACCTCAACAACATCACCATCCTTAAGATACTTGGGCGGAGTCATCCCCATCGCCACCCCCGACGGTGTCCCCGTCATAATAACAGTCCCCTTTTCCAACGTAGTCCCCTGGCTAAGAAAGCTGATAAGATGAGGCACATTGAAAAGTAGATCATTGGTGTTTGTATCCTGGCGGAGCTCGCCGTTGACCAGCGTTTGAAGACGCAGGTTATCGGCTGCGCCAACGAGCTATTTACCGTTAGAACTGACACTTAGAGGATCTTAATAAAGGGAAATTGTGTGTATACCTTAGGAGACACCAAGACCGGACCAACAGGAGCGAATTTTATCAAATCCCTTACTGAAGCACCACTGGGGCACGCCCCCGGCCTTCAGAGGATCCTTTTGCCAGCTGCGACAGGATATATCATTGGCGGCGACGTAGCCGGCTATGTACTCGAGAGCGTTTTCTTTGGGTATGTTTTTGCCCGTTTTGCCGATTACAATAGTCTTTTTGGGGAAACAATCGCCGTTAGATGTTTCTTTCGTTCACTGCACTGACATGCGAGATCGAATAAGGGATTTAGTCGGTGAACGTACCAGCTCCCCCTCATAATCTACCGAGTCCTGGGCAATTCGGGGAATAGCAATATCCTCATTGTACGAAGCAATAGAGGTGTTCGGCTTGATAAAGAGAGAAGGATGAGGTGGAGGCGTGCGGCCACCCTCTTTGACTGGAATGGAAAGTTAGCCCTACTCTGCTGGTACCAACTGAGTCCTGCACTTACTATGAGCCATATAGTTCAACCCCACGCAACGAATGATAGGAACATCCTCTGGTCGAAGAATGCCCAGAAGTTCTTTAACTTGCAAGCGACGAGAGCCTGGGGTAACAGAGAGAGGGCTGTCTCCCACATACTCCTGAGCGAAAAGGGTTCCAGCGAGGCATTCCTCTGTTAGTTTCGTGATGTCGCTGATTGCTGGTTCTCCGAAGCATACTTCTCCGGTGGTGTCGATAAATCGGATGAGGCGGGACCAGGACATTGTGATGATTAGTTATTTGTAGCGTGCAATGTGCTTGATGGTTTGTTCTTTTCTTTCAGGCATTATGTATGGGCGGCTTATGTATGTTCCATATATGGCAGTTGAGTGTTTGCTCCGATGAAGCCGAACTTTCCGTGCTTCCGAATGTCGCGGATATCGGTAGCGTTATGTATCAGACCTACTTTTCAATATGGTGGATTCCGGTCATTCCGATTGACACGGGATCATCGATGATATCATTACTTGCTAATAAAGCCTTGGATAATTCGAATGAAGCCGGCCTCTCGGCGGCAGCATAGGATGATACTACTAATTTTCGGGGGGTTCGGAAAGACTGGAAACTTTTGATAGATATCATATAGCTGAGGTTGGCACAATGACCCCGGGTTACTCAATGGATAGTTACCCACTATTTTTTACGTTATCCGAGGGATTTATCTCTTCTGCTATTATTGGTAGCAGTCAGTGGCTAACTAGGTTGAAGTAATGAGCCTCGACTATCAATAACATCATGGCAACCAAGTATAGTTTATATAGAATGATAGGTAGTAATGTCGAGTGATATGCAAATAGATAATCACTCACTTATCTGATATCGTTTCGCATGCTTTTGATGCATATCTCAGTCTATATGGGAATTTTGAGTTGAGATGTGGGTAAATACAGTATTTAATGGAGAGAAGGGTGGCAACTACGAAAGCCAAACCCCAAGTTCAGGAGAAAAACGGCTGAAATGATATACATGCTCCTGGACAAGTCTAAAAGATAAAACAGCTGGTGAAAGCTACAATTTGTTCACATATAAGAAGACAGCAGACACAGCATTGAAGTGCCTTCCCAATAATAGTAGGCTGCACAAATCACATTCCAGACCTTAAGCCTGTCTGATAAACCCCAACGACTCCAGCATGGGTCGGTCGTTAATCGCAAAAAGATAAGCAGGCTCACCTGACAAACATACATGTTGAATTTGACACCATGCAGGCACAGCAAACGTATCCTTCTCTTTCCACTCTATCTCAAGTGCCTCTCCCTCTGCCGTTACAAGCTTAGAATAGCCCTTACCGCATTTAACATGATATAGAAACGAGCAAGTCTCCCGCCGAGGAACAGTGGTGTAACCCGGACCCAACCGCTCCGCTTGAGCACTGATAGTATCAGAAAGATAACTCTTTCCCTTACTCTTATAGTGATAAACTGCGTATGGTAGATTTGCGCCGTCCAACTTAGCCTGCACGTCCCGCCAGGGGAAGCGTATGGGGCTGTCTTGGGTGTCCCTAATAAATAAATTTGCTTCAGTTAGACAAGACCTATTTTCACTCTAGCTTCTCCGGAACAGGTAACTCACAACGCAGGGTAACGACTCTCTGTGTACTCCTCTGCGAAATTCACCGGGAACCGTCGAAATAGCGGCAAATCCAATCCATCAAGCCAGAGCATGGGAGCCTTGCCCTCATTACCGTGATCATGCCAGCACCACGAAGGAGTCAGGATCACATCCCCTGTCTCCATCTGGATCTTCTGGCCTTCAATCGCCGTGAACCCGTCATTGCCTTCGATAATAAAGCGAAGCGCAAACGCAACGTGCCTATGCGCGGGGGCTGTTTCTCCGGGAAGAACAAGCTGCAGGCCTCCGTAGATGGTGTCTGTTGTGTGAGGGGCATCTTTGTTTGCGTAGATCAGTCAGTATATACAATTATACCTTAGCCCTCTGAAAGAGTCATAATGGGAGAGGAGAGGAAGGTATCATCATACCCATGTTAGGGTTCACCAGCATCAGCACTCGTCTCTCGGCCTCCTCCGCAGTAATGATGGTTCCGGATTTCATCAGATCCGGGCGAAGCTGATCGTATCGCCAGATAGCTGGCACGGCGCGGGGATTGGGTTTTGATGGCACCATTTGACCGAAGACCGTCCAGAGAGGTTGGTAATTCTTGCTGTGGGCGGATGCTTCGAATTCTTCTCGCAGAGAGGTAGATGTCTGCTGAGGCGTCGCACTCATCTTGGATCTATTTGGTTGTTCGTCGGTATCTTTGGGGAAAGTATGTCAAGGGACTGGATAAGAGATGTTTGACATTGATTCTGCTCCATTCTGTTCATGCTAGCGCAAGGTGGGAGCATGTATATAGTAGTAGTCTGGGCTGTTCATGTGGAGATGTTGTGCATGGTGCCGTAAACCCGCTCTTCTGGAACTCGCGGGGGTGAATTACATCTGGATTACTGCGGGGAGGAGCGGAGAAGCCAGGCATGCGTCTTCCGAATGGCTCGGGATGGAGAGAATTACCAAGCCGGTGTATCCGTGTATTCCGAGTTCGACCTATACCTACGCTCGATATGGCACCTACTGCATCTGAAAGCAGATTACGCATCTTATTTGGCTACATACACAACGTCTCAGTGACCGGGCATAGTCACAAACGATCTAACATTATCCGGGCTCTTAACCCAAGATGGCTTCACCCCAGCGAAGAATTCCACTTGAGGAGCAAACCTCTCCAATCTGAGCAGATTCACTCGTCAGTAAACTGATTCAAAGAAGAGCAAAACGCTGCACTCACCCGTCATCAATGAGGGCCGCACGCACAATGACATTTTCGCCCGCATGATTCATAGGAACTGTCCATAAGGTACAGCCGCATTGGGTACAGAATTTCTTATGTTTTTCTGCTCCACTGGTGGTCTTGGTAACAACCCAGGTGCCGACGTATCCGTCGCCGCTGCCTTCAATGTGCAGCTGGCTTCTATGATATTTGGCGCACTTTGATATCCGAGTTATTGGCAATGCTTTTTTTATAACCCGGGGGAGAGTAGAGATACGTACAAGCTGGTATGGGGCTCCAGAGTTCTTCACACAATCTTGGCAGTAGCAGATGAATACCTTCTCGGGATTGCCCTGGACGCTGAATCTCACTGTCGTGCATAGACAGCTTCCGTGAAGGGTACTGTTTTCCATGTTCTCGGATGTGCCTGCTTTAATCATGATGATAGGCTGTCTCCAAGGTTCCTTTGACCGCGGCGGGCGAAATAAGTCAATCTTGTTATAGTCGTGTCATATATCTACTTCCGTGAGTAAGTGAGGCTTGAAGCCGCACTTTCCGAGTCTTCCGGACTTCGGTTGAACTAATACAGGAGCGCTAGCATATTCCATGTAGTGAAAAGGTATTAAGAGTGAATTTTTTGGCCCCATCATGTCCTTGTTCGTCGTTGAAATTGACTCGAAATCTTTAAAATCGGAAAGTGACACCGAGTACGACTTCATCACATCATTTATTCTAGGAATCTAGGATATGGGGTTAGTACTACCATGCTAGGCATCAACCGAGGATGATGTAGGTAGCTTGCTCATAAGATTTAGCTATCAAGCCTTTCGAGCCCTATAGTAGGTCATCTGAATTGAACACTGCGATCTTCATAAAAGGAACGTTTTCAATGCCTTTTTGTTTAATCTTCTAACAAGCATCTGATTGATTCACTTGAAACATTTCAATAGAACAATATAAACGTCAGTCCCAGAGAAGCACAGGCTTCCAAACACGCCCTGCTTTCATGTCACTGACTGCCAAGTTGATATCAGTGACCTTATAAGTCTTCTGTAATTTATCCAACGGCAACCGTCCCTTTCGATAAAGATCGATCATTAATGGTATAAACTGAACGGTGCATTAGAGCAACTTCAGTCCAATCTGTTCTGGCCCACTTACAGTCTTAGAATATGCATTGCCTTGATGACACCCGATATACGTCTTGCAGTTGATCAACATATCAAATACGTCAATTGACGCTTTAAGACCGGCCGGTGGTCCACCAACAGTGACCGCCACTCCACCAGCACCCACCAAACTGACCATCGAGTTGACCACCGAAATCACACCCGTGCAATCGATGGCCGCATCAATCCCCTGACCGTGGGTAATTTCTGCCACACGGCGTTCCAGATCCTCCTTGGCTGAATTGATCACATGCGTTGCTCCGAGCTCCAAGGCTATACTCAGCTTTTCGTCGGCAACATCTACAGCAATAATAGTGTCAAGTATTCCGGGACAATCTTCGGCTCGGACTTTTGCCGCCATGATTGCTGCCGCCCCTACACTGCCCAAACCCAAAACCAGGAGGGACCGGGCCTGTCGTTCGATCGGCCGGACGACTTTAAATATAGATCCAATACCCGTTTGAAATCCACAACCAAAGGAGCAGAGCACGGAGAGTGGTAGGTCCTTGTCCACTTTGGCACAACACGCTTCCTGAACCACCGCTGGATTGCAGAATGATGACTGGCCAAAGAAGCATGTGCTGATGGTGCCTTTCAAGCCGTCATCGGATATGACAGTCTGCGATCCGTCCGGCCTCTGGGATCCAAAGTTGCGCGCTCGTATATCTGAGCAGTGAAAGGTCTTGCCAGCTCTGCAGCTTAGACATGTCTTGCAGTAATTATATGAAAGAACCACATGATCGCCGACAACTAAATCCGTGACGGCTGAGCCAACAGCACGAATCACACCGGCGCCTTGGCTTGTATGTTATTATCCCTGCCAGCGTGGAAAGCTACTAAAGGGGACTGAACCGTACCTTCATGGCCCAGGATGGCGGGAAAGGGGACGGGAATCTTCCCACTTTGGACAACCAGATCCGTTTGACAGATACCAGTTGCCTTGAGCTCTACCAGAACCTCCCCGCTTTGCAATACGTCTAATTCAACGGTATTTGACTGGAAAGGTGCTTGTTTCTCGGGGACAATGAAGGCTTTTGCTTGGACCATGATGGGCAGGCAAGTCTAGGGAGGAAGTTGAAGCGGGGTTGGATTCATGGAGTAGCGGGAAGTGGGGGATATACAGGGTCTGTTTTCTGTTTCCCCAGACGTCTTACCAAAAATTCATCTAAATTTACTAAGCAATTAGATCGTAAAACAACCGAATGGTTGTCTACTTCGGATATGGTTTTAGTTCTTTCCCCGCAAAAGCAGGTTGTCGGATCGGAACTCGGGATGTTCGGAGAGGACGGAACCTAACTCGATCCAACCCTCAAGTCTCCTGCTGGTCTTCGATCTTCCGAACCCTCCGGAAGAGAGTCAAATCCTCAAGTACTCACACACTAGCAAGATGGATCGCGGAACCTGGTCCATTCCCCTCCTTCCGGCTACAGGTACGTCTTCCTCAAGGCAAGCAAAGCGGCGCAAGATTGCAGTAGCCTGCGGGACGTGCAGGAGCCGGAAAGTCCGGTGTGATGGCCAAAAGCCCGGTACGTGGAGTAGTATCTATTTCTAAGCGTCTTCCATTAATCATACCTTTCAGCATGTGGGCCTTGCCTGGAACGGGCCGAATACCATGGGGTGGACCTGAACTGTGTCTACTCGCGCAACCCCGCTGATAGGAGCGCTTCTTCCAAGTATGCACGCTCTCGTAGTGGAATTTCACTTAGATCAAATGTTGCAAGAAAGGAAAGACTGACCAGCCCTCACACGGAAAGGGAAGCTGCGATACAACGGAACCAACGCCAGCGTTCAACACAGACACAACGCGTTGAAACCCAGCAACTTCCGAGCTTTCACCTGCAAAATGGGCTTGGGCCGTCTTCATATCATCAGCCAGAAACAATATCAAATGATTGCGGCCCACATCTATTGTCTTCCTCCATACCATGCACTGCAACTGGTCCCCAGCGGCAGGCAAACAGTGCCGAGGGAGTCAACGCAATGGTGGGGGAGGTAGCCGCCGATGAAAGATACCCCACACAAGGGTTCTTTGGAAGCTCAAGTGCTGGGGGCTTCATGCGGCAGATCAGGGTCGCAGTGGGAAAGGAAGTGCCATCATCAGGAGCTTCAAACCCGCAATCCTCTCTATTTGATCTTCACAGATCCAAAGGGCCTTCCACCTCTGCCAACATAAACAGCCATGTGCTGCCCCCGCGGCGCATGGCCGACCATCTGATGCAAATATACTGGGAGTTTGTTTTTCCCCTCTATCCCTTCTTCGACCGCGAACAACTATCGGCGGAATATCTTAGAATCTGGAACGGAGAGGGGCCCACTAGCGATGAAGATATGATCATGTGCACATTCAATGTGATATTCGCCCTATGCTGTCAACTATCTGAGAACATCAAGCCGGAGAACCGGGCATCAACGGCCGACAGTTTCTTTTCTCGAGCTAAACAACTGATTCAATTTGACCCGTGGCAGCCAGGATCTACCGCTTTCATTCAATGCTTGCTTTTGATGTCACAGTATCTGCAAAGCACCGATCATGCTGACCAATGCTGGATGGTTACTGGCATGGCAATTCGCAGCGCTCAAAGTCTAGGGCTCCACCTGCCAGAGACAAGTTCACGCCTAGCCAGCAGTCAAGGGAAGGAGCTCGCCAGGAGACTGTGGCATGGATGCGTTCTCATGGATCGGTCAGTTGATGTTGATCCATGATTTTCCTTAACCCTATCTGATTCGATCTGCAGGGTTGTCGCACTGACGCTAGGACGCCCAGCCATGATATCGAAAGAAGCAGCTGGTGCCGTCCCTTTACCTACCATGGTAGATGAAGAGGTACCCCCGGGTTTGCTAGATGCAGAGTCACACTTTCAAGATGGAGAAACAGAGCGACCCTCCTTCATGACATTCTATGCCAAGTGTCTGGAGCTTTATGAAATCTTAAACGATATACTTCTCAGCCTTTATTCGAATAGCAACACTCCACCCGACAGACCCGAAGACCACCATAACTACTACTTTCGAAGCTTCCACGAAGGCCAAGTAACAGTGACTCAGCTCGACTATGCCCTCACCCTGTGGTCTCAGAGCCTTCCGAAAGTCTTTCGATGTCAATCCACACCATTGCCCGCGAACGATGTTATCAGTCGACAGAGAATTGTGCTGAGGTTGAGGTACAACCATTGAAACACTACTGAATGATAAAAATCTGATCACTCTTCACCTACTAGGTTACTCCACATCCGGATGGTCCTCCTCCGTCCAATTCTATCCAAATACTGTGACCTGTACAACCAATCCACTATAACATACCACCCATCCGAAGACTCGCTCCCACAACGCTTCGCTCTCCAATGCTCCATAGTCTGCGTAAAATCAGCCCAAGACCTCATCGACATGACCTATACGAATTTAGCAATGGATAATAGTACTAATACCATCGGCCTACTTCCGGCCTGGTGGTATAATATCCTCTGTACGTCAGTCACATCATACCCACAAAAGCCATAGCTACATTGTTCCCTCTATATCCAAGATCCACAAAACTAACCCCAGTCCGAAACTAAACAACCAGACATCTACACAGCCAGCACAGTCCTAATAGCCGGGCGCCTCCACCAAGCTATCCTCTCCGAGTTACATGAAGACTCCATTTCCCGCACCTGGCAGCGCGCTCTGGACATTCTCCGCAAGTACCAAAGCTACAGTTCCTCTGCGCAGCGATGTATAGTTGCGCTTGAGCTGCTGGATGAGAAAGTCACTGCCGCTATTGATATGAAAAGGAGAGGAGGGAATTACCATGGTTCTGTTATGCCAGCGGGGAACAACAATAGTGGTGGTGGTGATGGTAGTGCTGCCTCGCCACGTGATGTCTCGCTGGGTGAGGGCCTTTCTGCGGCGGTTCTGGATACTTGGGATTTACCGGATTTCTTTGATATGTCTTGGTTGAATAGTGTGCCTAGTAGTCTATTTTGATGCCGAGGCAGACTTGGTATATGGAGTTTGTCGCTATACTCACCAGGCCAGTATAAGCAGATGACTGTCCACGTTCATAGCATCACCTTGCGCTGAGAATGGTCTATTCTATAATTATATCAACAATCGTAACTAAAATATATACAATCTGCTACTACATATGCAAATCTACACCTCCAAAACACACCAACAAACCGTCCACCCTACCCTCCCCCCCAACTTCTCCATAACCCTCCTACTCGCCAAATTATCCTCCGCCGCATTCGAATGCATCCACCCATCATTCAGGCTCATATCCTCCTCAATCCCCCTTCTCATCACCTCTCTCCCCACAATCCCAGCCAACCCCAACCCCCTAACCTCCTCTTCCACATGCAACGTCGCCAAGGTCCCATCCGTACCGAGGAACGCCCACGCAACCGGCTCCTCACTCCCATCGCGATAGACCGCACAGCTCCTCAACTTCGCCAGCGTCTCCTCCGATCTAGGAATAACTGTCCTCGACCGCACAAGTCCCAGTTTCTCTCTTGGGATGCAGCCATCGCTGAAGTGAAAGCCTGGCGGCAAGTTCCCCCCCTCCTTGTCTCGAGGTTGGTGACAGATAACTTCCCGAGGGAGGAGGTACTTGACGTAAGGGGGTTGGCTGAAGCGGTGGACTTTGATTCCCGGAATGAAATCCGCAGGGGAGGTTGGCTGCGCGAGAGAATAGGATGTGTTGCTGTTCAGGAGGGTGGAGAAGAGGCCCGTGTGCAGGTTTCCGAATAAGAAGGCGGTCGGGGGAGGAGGGGGGAGTTGATGGTCTTGGGGTTGGGTTTGGGTTGAAGGGAGTTGGGATAAAGTGGTGAGGTAGGGTGGGAGGAGGTGTTGTTTGATGTGGTGGAGGAGAGAGAGGAGTTGGGTGCGTAGGATGGGGTGGTGTTGGGGTGAGATGGTGGTTATGGGGATTGTGTTACTATTGCTATTGCTATAGCTACCGGGAGTGTCTTCTGGGGATGACGATGATGGTTCTGGGGAGGTGCTAGTGTAGGGAATAGAGGCGGTGCGCTCGAGACTCGAGTACACTATGACTTGATTCTCGCGGCCAGCGCTCAGGTCAACGTAGGCGATCATCCAGGGGAGGAGGAGGAAGAAGGATTCAGGATCCGAAGCAGCTGCAGGGACCGCGGTGTCAGGTGCCAGAGGAGGAGAAGGGTCGGGGACCCGGGGACCTGGAACTGGGACTAGACCAGGATTAGAGACTAGTTCTGGAACAGGAAGTCGGCCTTCCCCTGAGGCTGAGGGTGAGACTGGCGGCGAGGCTGAGGACGAGGCGGGAGGAGCAGGAGCTGGACCCGGGAATGTGGTTAGGATAACTGCAGTGGGGGACGGATGGGCGATCTCATGCTGGATACGGCGGAGCAGGGGCAGCGAGTGAGGGAGATGGGACCGGAGCAATGGAAGCAGCTGGGTCTGGGTCCATTCAGAATGTGGTGATTTTCGTCGATGCGACAGGCCTGATGGATGATGGGATCCGCCTCGTCCTGGGCACAATTCCGGGTTGCAGTTGACATCCTTGTAAGTGGTGTGGAGGAAGGGAGTGCCGCTGGCATGTGTGCCAGGCAGGTGGCTGGCTGTTTGATCGACTGGAAGTGGATATAGACCCGTAAATAGGGAGAAGTGACTAGTACTCAGGAGGAATGGTGAGTGGTAGTGGCAGGGGGGGAAGAGATGCCAGACGGAGAAATTCTGATAATGCAATGGAAGAATGGAAGGAAATCACCACGCGAGAGATGGAAAATGTCCGTGTCAACAGTCTCTAAAATGACAACTTTGACGGGTTACCTTAATTGAAGGGCGTGAGTCATGAAAATTGGGCTGAATATGACGAGTCGTTAATTTCGGACGTGCCCGAAGGCGTCAACTAACCCAATTGGGGGGAAAATATGATATAGCTTAAGGGATTGTAGTAGTCGATAGTTAATAAGCTAAGAGAGGAATTTGTCATTCTTCCCGAGCACGATAGATACTAGTTAGATGGATAGATAACAAACAAGCAAGCCCGTGAGGGTGCAAAATTCCTCCCGTCGGGGACCCCGACTTCCCCGATGTGGCGGTGCATTGAAACAACAAAACAACATCATCAACAGCATACCTTAAAAATTAAATCTCCTAAAATAAGAGTTAATTTATTGATGCAGTCTAGTCTATCTAGTCTAGTCTGAAAAATTTCTACCCTGACAGCATCATCGATCCTTAACCCCCGGGTTCCTGCGCCCGATTATTTTTATCCCGTCTAGAAACGAACTAAAACCCCCTAGTGCTGCCTCCGTCGCATGTCTAGTCTCCGGCTGGTAGCCAACTGCGAGAGCTGGTGGCTGGCTGACGCTGAAGCAGAGATTTCATCTTTCTGGGCAACGACACCATGTGGGCCTGAATGGAATTGTTTTCCTTTGTTCTGTGCATTTTGTGTGGAGGAGAATTCTCCTGAGTCGGTGTCGGTCGCGTTTTTGACAGGTCCCATGCTCCCGGGTCGTCGTCATGCCCGTTTGGGTAAAGGAGATGTGGGTGTAGCTTAATTAATCTATGGGGTTGTGATTTGGAATTGTGAAATCGCGTAGATTATGGAGTCGTCGGGATTTACGCGGAGAGATCGACGCATGTCTTGGAACTTGGACGATTATGTGTGTAGTGGATGGAGAGTCGTAGTATGTAGCTGCTTTGAGTATATTGTTGTTGTTGGGAGTGCGATGTATATTGATTCGAATGTAGTAGTAGATAAAATATACAATGAACATGGTATGAAGTATAGTAGTGATCCAATTTGCCAAATTAACTGAAGCTCAGGAAAATAAATAAAACAAACATAGGAAATATATTTTTACATAGGAGATTCATCATCGTAAACCATCATAGCTAATGTACATTCACCACGGACTGCGCGATCCTACCATCCAATCCTCCATCGCCAACCACTCACTCCAGCGCGCTTCCGCCTCGCGTAACTCTTCCTCTGTTGCTGCTCGCAATGGCCGTAAAAATGGCGTTTGTTCGTCCGGCAGAATGTCATACGCCGCCTTTGTCGACGCCCACCCGCCGCTCTTTGCCGTAAACAAGTAGTTCACCCGCTCTTGCTTGATCATGCTCCCCACTCCCCCGACCCAATCCTCTCCGAAGAACGCGCTCAGTACAGCAGGACTATCCTGTGCTGTTACAATGAGGCGCCGAATGTAAGCGCGTAATGACGGATGGGTTGTTTGGGCCCCTGACTGCTGGCAAGGAAGTCGAATGTTGAGAAATGCGGCCAGCGACTGCACTGTCGGGGTATGCTGCGCATAGGAAACAAAGAACTGCGTGCATGCCAGGTATCTCGGGTACCAGGAGTCAAGGAGGTCCGGACAAAGGTCCGAGGTAGGCTCGGGAACCTCTTCCGTGCCTGTGCGCATAAAGGTTTGACCCTGAATTTGACAAGGTTCTGGGTGGACAGGCCAGCTTGGAGATGATGGTGTCATGGGAACAGCTAAGGCCGGAGGCTCAGGTCTACCAGGACTGGTTTCAGTGTCCATGTTAAGACAAAGAGGTTCTGCGGAAGGGGTTGGCATGGCTTCACGGCGATAGAATGACTTATCAGTGGACTTACTTTGAGGTTGATATGCCAGAGATGCGGCGGAGAAAGGATCGTGAAATTCGACGTAGGGAGGTGAAGTTGCCCTTGAGTCTTTTCCGGAGGGAGATAGATTCATATGCATGTTCGTGTTCATGGCCACGGTGAAAGGACATATGATGATTGACAGGCTATGGACTTCTAATAGGGGAGTGAGATCTGGGTGAAGGTAAAAATTTGGTGAATTGGTGGACCTCAAGCACGAGGGTAGGCCCTCCTTATACTCCTCCTTTCCTCCATGTTGGGAAACGACGGTCAGACCGATAAAAATCGGGGATTAGCATGCGGAAATGCAAGGCCCAAGAACGGTGGGAGCAAGTTCACGAGGATCCGCATGGCAGGTGGAGTTGGCGCGCAAACTATTGCCCATGCGAGGATCTGAGGCTATCACGGATTTGCTGCTATTGACGGGGATGGGTCAAGCCACAGCATTCCAGCCACAGAACGCGAGCCACGGTGATACTATGATAGGACTAGTGGCATAGTTCGTAATGTGGCGCATGTGGGTCGCAGTGGCTGTGCAGCCCTACTCCGGCCTAAGGCTGTAAGGCCGTGTGAAACCCGAGCCTGAGGTACACCGTCTTGCCGCATTGGGTTACTGCTCAGGCACCGCGACCCAATCACCGCCTTCATATATCCCAGGAACCGCAGGGGAGACTTGGAACTAGTAGTCTACTGAGTACAAAGTCAATCCTGGATGTCTTAAAAAGTTCTTAGTGCTTCATACTCGATACTACTATACCAGATTATTACTAGTAGCCATTCTCTTACCTCAATGATGTATGGCCATTGTTTCTCTGCAACCACATTTGCAATCCCGGGAACCTGGACAACCCCAGCGACGCTAACACAAAGGATTTGGAATGGCCAAGAACACCGGGGTCTGCTTTTCCTTCGCTTATTCTCCTCCCCCTCAGCCCGCTCACCCATGGTTTAATCTATCGTTGATTGCGTTTAATAAAGCGACCGGCGCCAATGAGAGACTAAAATGCGACCGTGTGAGTTTAGCAAGTCTCCCATCTAGTGACTCTTGAGTTACCCATGTCCTGGGTCAAAGCCCACCGCTCGCAAACCAAGTGTGGTGGTCCTGGTCGTCGGCGACCTGGACTAACCTCGACCACGACTTGTTGTCTCCCAGACTACTCTGCCCACTCTTCACACCCCCCCAGTCAATGGAGAATCAATAGTCGACACCGATCTGTGACAGCTCCTCTGGCATCCCCGCACCATAGACGACGCAATCATGACACATGATTACCTACTAGTAGTAACTCTCGCAATCTCACACATGGTCCTGATGACCTTGGCTTATGCGGGTGATTGCAAACACCCCCCTGGGTGGTACAGGCATGCGCTCGCTCTTACCCTCATAGTCACCGTACATATGCAACCCCCCAGGAACTGCAAACGTGGAGGAGATCCGATGCGCCTGACTCTCGATATGCAAGGGGATATGGAGGGGGGAGGGAGGGAACTAAGGCCTGCCAGCGCGTCCCATCGCCCATCGGACACACCGGTGGATTGGACGTCGATCAGCAGCGACCAGCCAGTCCGAGTCTGATCTTAACCTAGACTTTGACCCAGCGTCGTGTTGAGGCCGGCGTCCACGCTAACCCTGGGTCCACCGCCTTCGCCTGCCTCAGCCGCTGCTTCGAGTCTACTCCTCATCTGGTTTAGACAGACCTGGCGTGCCTGACGGGTGGAGATGACCGAACCTGGCCGAACCGCTCAGTGGGCGCTCACAATGCTCGTAGGTACCTGCTTGCTGGGATGTCTATTCTAGACTTGGGAGATCGGGATAGCCGCTCATCGTAGCCTCTCTCCTCGGACCGACATGGCCCAGCTCGTCAGGACGCTAGTCAGATTTAGTCAGATTTGTCCCAGTTTTTTCCTGATCACTGGCTCGCTAGTCCCGCAGGCTTATGATATGATGAGATCATGACTGCCGCTAAAACTCAAATCATTCGGGCGATTAGATCCATCACAGTGGACATGCCCGCCAGCCATGGAGGCTGCAGAGATTAAAGGGAAAAAAAAGAAAATAGTAAAAATGGAAATCTTAGGCCAGCCAAGCCCAGCGTTAATCAGGGTCACCCTGCCATGCGCTGAAGCTTCCCCACTCTAAATGATTACGGACGGAGTGGCTGACCGTCACCCTCCACCACAGCATGCTTCGCTATCTCATGCTATATAACCATCAAGGTTTCTCCCGGACGGAAGACACTCGTTCTCTATCCATCACAAAGTCTCTTTCAGAACGTGTATAATAGCATTGATCAGTGCAACTGATTGAAATTGTTCTTCATCCACCACTCTTTCAACTACACTATCTACCCTTTACCATCACACTTCGTCTGTCGCTACCTCGCTCACCATGCCTTACCGCACCAACTACGAGCCTTATGTGAGTGACACTGTTCCAGTGGAATGGAAGACCAATTGCTGATACCTTCTAGACTAGCCAGAGCTTCGAGATGAAGCGCGAACTTTCCACCGAAGAGATCCTCTACCCTCTCGGGACACTCTACCCACACGTCGTGGCTCTTCAGCTCCAAACCGACGAGTACCCGTGGTGCAAGGCCAACCATTACGCTGGATATGACAGCAGTCTCTCAGTGGACGAAGCGTCGGAGCATTATTCGACTAAGTCAATGCTACGCAGGAACAGTGGTATGTGCACCTGTCCTTCATCGGTTGCCTCCGATTTCAAATCCAACCAGTCTGATCTGTCAGACAAGGTGCATATGAGCCACGCTAACGTCTGCGCAGACTCCACAGCCTGCCGCATTGTGTCACGAATTCGGCGACTACTCAACCGCGACGAACTGCGACGTCGCCGACAGGCCTGAATGCCTTCCTTCATTTACATTCGTGTTTTTAATCTTCGTTTATTTTTCCTTTCTTCGACTTTTCTTTGACGACGATTTTTACCACCAACTTCTTGCATAGCTACTGAGCGATACCCGTCTGGCATGACGGTTGTTTCATTTGTTTATCACCAACATCATCTCATCAATTGTCCAGCATGCTGGATCACTCTCTGAGACATTTCCTTTCTGTCTGTTACATTTCTTGTCACCGGTTGCACTGGGAGTTTTCTTTTCGGGTTGGACTTAGCGAGGAGTTTCGGGCATGGGAAGCAAGGGAGAATCAGGCACGGCCGGTTTCGGTATTGATTAGTCCTGACTGACTGGGTCAGATGAGTAACATAATAATCCTAATGAAGACATGTGAAACAACACCCCAAGGTCATCCATCCTCACCAATGTGCAAAATGATATCGAGTAGATAGTATGGTTCAGGAGACGAAGATCTGCCGTAGACTCGTACTGTAGACACTCGTTCCCGACTGACTCCACCCACACGGGGTCATGAAAGCCGCGATCAAACGAGGGATGAACCCAATTCACCAAACCCAATCTAATCAGCACAACATGACTGGCGGATCGAACCTGTTCGACGAGGTTTGGATGAAACCCATCACCACCACCCCCAGCACCACCACCGCACCCACATAACCCCCTGCAGGTGCCCCGTGAGGATCTGACCGACAGGCAGACAGATGGATACATCCCATGACTACCTCCCCATTCCTAATAGCCCGAGACAGGACCGACACGCAGCCGATGCCTAATTGTCCGGATCGAGCCATCCCCGCATTCCGTATCATATGCACCAGGCTCCTCCTGACCCGTTGGACAGATCAGATGCAATGGCACGAACCATCGGACGCCTGCTGCAAGTGCTCATCACCCACTAACTAGACTAGTTCCTGTGTGTCACGATGATCCAGAGCTGCTCCTCTCGTCTCCCCTTTCATTTCAGATTCTGCAGCGTGGCTGTCAGAACTTTGAACGGGTGTTCCCGCGCTGGCCGCGATAAGTTATGGTGGACCGAGGGTTCAGGACGGGAGGATCATGAAGTCAATGTGAGAGATCATATACGGCATCTGGATAATTTGTCTGTGGAATTGCCCTGGAATTGTTCATGAGGGAATTTACGCTTTTGACTTACTATTGATGATTGATTGATGATGTGATGAGAAAGCAGGTGCAGGGTCAGGATATGCCGAGGGATGACTGATTTCTGCGGGGTGTCGATCAGTCAGGGGAAAGAAACCTGGAGAGTGAGGAGAACCACTGCGCGGTTTTGCTTTCTCCTCTTCTTGCTGGCTGGCGCTTCCCAATAACAACTCTTTCTTTTCTTTTTTGTCCATGACGAAGCCTACGAGATAATTGACACTGGTTCTTGTTTTTAAGTGCAGCGCGCAGGACGCCATCGAATCTACCCACCACCACCACTACTCTTTACCCACACCCGCACACACACACCCACCATGCGCATCCTCCCCCTCCTGATCACCTACCTCTTCCTCCCCATAATCACCGCCAAATTCAGCCCCATCTGCATCCGTGTCCTCGGCGCACTGACCGGCCGCCCCAATGATCTCTTTACCAAATTCCAGCGCGAAATCTGCGACCAAGGATGCCAACCCACCGTACCGCACTGGGACCTCTGGACGCGCAACAATACCTTCCTCCCGGCGGTGCGCAGCCTCATGAAACATGTCGATAATCCGCGCCAGGAAGAGGCGATGGTGCGGCTAGGCGACGATGTAGCGGACGTAATCAAGCGACAGTGCGGGCCATTGTTGCAAGGGCGGGATATCTGCTCGGATGATGAGACGCTGGCGGCGTTTGGGACATGTTTCAAGAAAGGGTTTGTGCGGGCGGCATTGACTAATTTGCCGACGTTGCTGCCGCTGGCGTCGGAGGAGGTGTGTCGCGAGCAGTATGAGTGGTTGCAGAAGGATGAGTTGTGGGAGGTGATTATTCCGGGGAAAATGCGGGAGTATGCGGGTGTTTGTCGGGGGTTGGGAGGGGGATTGGGTGCGATGTTGGTGGAGGAGTTGTTGAGTGGATAAGTAGGATTATTACTACTGTTATGGCTGGGTTAGACCTTTGAATAGGTGCCTCCTTCCATCTCTACTAGTATAAAAGAGCTTGTTGTTACTTTCCAATCTCTCCCTTTCTCTTTCTTTTCAACTCCTTAAAAAAGCAATTTTTCCACCCTGAATCAGGTGTTCATATGAGTTAACTTGCAAATTCCCCTCAAATAAGATCTTAGCTTCATCAGGACTTATTAACTAAATAAATGCTGTGTGTCAATGGGATAGCGAAGATGAAACATATTCAGCATTGTCTGGCATCCGACCAAGTTATTTCCAATTTTCTCTTACACCTCCGAAAGTGGCTTTTGGGATTTATGATTTAGTATTGAAGAGCTGATATAGTATAATACAAAGCAGATCTAGATTCAAAGACATTGTATTAGAAGAAGAAGGAGGAGAAAAGAAAAAGAAGAAAAAGAAATAACTGTATAATTAAGTCTTATGGCAGTATCCAGAGAACAGAAAATAAGCAACCTACTATGTGTGATCTAGTGCGTTCTTATTCCTTTTTGATCGGGGTAATGGCCTTTCTCACACATCATGATAGCAATTGAAGTCCCAAACAGGTCCAGTCGCCCGGAAACCGGATAGGTGACGAGTGACTGGTCTGGAGTTGCGTATGGGTCATTTCGAGTCCGTGGCAATATCAAAACAGCAGCTCCAATGCTATTAGGGTAGCTTTAAATCGCAGTCTACGAGCCTTACTATAAACCCTCTAGTTGAGAGCAAAATGTCTTATATAGGTGAGAGAGGTAACGAACTGATAGGTAAGATTCACTCTGAAGTGCAAAGAAGATTCCCGAATTGTTTTTTGCAGAGTGCAGAAAGGTAACTTGTGAAGAGAGTTCAATAGGGAAGATTGAGAGAATTTACAAAGAGTTGTAGTACTGATTAGATCTTAGCGTTAACCTGATTATCTTAGCGGGTCATGCTTGGTATGCTGATTATGTCAAGAATTGACCAAGCTCTCTTGATGTACCCTATGTCACATTATTGATTTTCCACATCAGCGCCGATTACTACGTCTACTAGAGCAGAGTAAGGGATGATAGGATCTGGAGGGCCCATGATATTCAAGTCTTCATGTGAAGAGCGGTGGCATTGCGAATACACCACTATACCGCTAAAATGGTGCACAAAAGTATCAGAGCATCAGCACGTGCTCATACCCAGTGTCACATCTTGCAAGGATGGTAAGTAAACCGGAGTTATGTATACCAACGAACGGATCAACAGGTTCTGCATATTGTGTGGCCCTTTCTCCATGCTTCTGGATTTTATATTCTTCATCATGGCCAGTTTCTTTCCTCCCCCATCTCCAATATGGACAACTTTCAGTCGTTACAAAGCGCGCGGAAGCAATAATAAAGCAGGGGCGATATTACACATGTGCGCTGCTTGTCTATCTCCGCTATTCGCAGCAGGAGTGCACGGCCAGCTCTCCCACATCCCAGGCAATTCCTCGTCCAATTTGGTCATTCAGCACGCGGAAAGATGTACAATAAGCATTCCACTCATGCTCGGGGCTGTCTTTTCGTGGACGATTATGTATAGGTCGGACCGTGATCCGGATTTGTTCGGCTTTGGTACAGATGTTGAGCGACTATGCTTGCTTATCATCATGTCGATCCCGCCGTTTCTGATGCAGGTTGCCATGATCATGGGCATGCTGTTCGACCATCGGTTAAAGCCCCTAGTGCCACACTGGGTGACCTGCATGGGCACATTGTTCTTGACAGCTCCGTTCCCTTCTATCGTTGCCTATTGGTTTATAGTGGGCCGCTCTGCTGGAACGGCATCTTGAACTTCTGGATTGCTCTGTTGGAATTTGCACTCACCACAGACATCCTTTTGAAGTTCACATAAAGCCTTGATATCATCTCATATGGATAATGAAAAGACAAGCTGGTACTCGTGGAAATCATGCCAGTTTCGCAATGCGCTCGCAGTCTATCCTACATGGCTCAATCATGTAATGTTTCGCCCGCTGCACTGCGCTTAAGCTTGGAGTAGGAAGAACAATAATACTAATGTTATCTGATCTAAAAATGATATTCGAGTAGCATGAGGTGTCCATAATCCACTGGTTTTCACTGGTGCTGCCAACATTTCTAAACATCGTTTTCAGTATGTGATCCGGACTAATAGCAAAATCTTAGAGAGAAAAACTACAGCCATTATCTTGATCGCATATTTTGAAAGTAGTTTGGACACCACATCAATACGTGCTTCGAGATCTATCTTACGTTAAGAAACACATATATTGTTTGAAAGCCATTCGAGTAGCAATTAAAAGGTGGGGAGAAAACGGTATCAATATGAGATGAATTCTCCGCCCGAATGGCCCGATCGGGCAATTCGTCACCTTCTCCGACTTCCTTCTCCGCCCTCACGTCATCTTCGTTTTCCCTCAGTTTCTGCTTCCTTGACATCCTCTTCTCGCTATTGTCACGCCATTGACTTCACTGTCCTCTTACACGTCCCCGCCATGACAACAATTATATCTGTCTCCTTGTTCTGATGGCATCGGCCACCGTCCCCCGCGCCTGGCGCTCCCTCCCCTCCCAGTTTGCCCGCCCGCGCGTCCATCTCTCCCCTCGTGCTCCCCGTCAGCCTCTCTTGCAACTCCGTCAATATGTCCAAGCAGGCCATTACCAGCCTTTCGTTCCCCCATCACCAGCCTCCCTAGGCAAACCCACCAAGGCCAAGACCTACGATCGCACCCGTAAATGGCTTCGTCGGCTGGTCTACCTTTCGCTAGCCACTGGGACCGTCTACGTCCTCGACACTCAATTCTACGCCTCGTCTCTCACACGCACAGCTCGAACCTTCAGCTTGGGCCTCCTGGTAGCCCTGGATTACAAGACAAACTTCCGTCCCAACCCGCCGCTGGCCAGAGACATCAACGCCGTACACACTCGCAATGCTGAGCGTCTGTCCGACCTCCTGCGTCACAATGGCGGTCTGTACCTGAAAATCGGCCAAGCCATCGCTATGCAGTCCGCCATCCTGCCCCCGGAATTTCAGAAAATGTTCTCGCGCATGTTCGATGACGCCCCTCAGAACGACTGGAAAGATGTCGACAAGGTCATCCGCGAGGACTTTGGCCGCTCGGCTGAGGAGGTTTTTGGCGTCTCCTTCACGGGTGAGCCCGGAAAGGGTGTTATGGAGCGGACTGCGCGCGCGAGTGCCAGTGTAGCACAGGTACATTGGGCGCGTCTTCCGGACGGTCGTGAGGTGGCAATAAAGATCCAGAAACGTGAAATTGCTCAACAGCTGAAATGGGATCTGTGGGCTTTCAAGTAAGCTCCCGCCCCTCACCCAGCATTGCACACAAAATGCTAATAAGAACAGAGTCGTTGCCTGGATCTATAGCCGCACCTTTGATATTCCGTTCTACAGCCTGGTTCCTTATGTGTCGGAGCGTCTCTCCCTTGAGACGGACTTTGAAAATGAGGCCGACAACTCCGAGAACATGGCGCGTTTGGTCGCCGGAGAGCCCCGTCTCCGCGGCCGGGTCTACATTCCCAAGGTCCACCGCGAGCTCAGCTCTAAGCGCGTCATGACCGCCGAGTGGATCGAGGGTGTTCGCCTCTGGGATAAGGACTCCATCACGCGGACCTGGCGTGGTGGCTGGCGCAGCGGCACCCCAGGCTGCCATGGCACGCCTCTCGACGCGCGCAATGCCGAGGATCCTGTGGCCAAAGTGGCCCGCAACCCGAGCCTTACCACCAAGATCAAGCCCGAGCGCGATCACTGGCGCGGCGGGTACGCTCGCGCTGGTCTAGGCCTTTCACTTAAGGAAGTCATGACTACTATGGTGGACCTCTTCTCCGCACAGATGTTCCTCTGGGGTATAGTCCACTGCGACCCGCACCCAGGCAACATCTTTATCCGCCGGACTCCTTCCGGTCACCCAGAGCTTGTCCTTATCGACCACGGACTGTACATTCACATGGACACCGAATTCCGACATCAGTACGCCCGCTTTTGGAAAGCTCTCCTCACCTTCGACAACACTACTCTTAACTCTATCGTCCGCGGCTGGGGCGTCCAGAATGCTGACCTCTTTGCCTCTGCCACCCTGATGCGCCCCTACCGCGGCGGCGATCTCTCGACGCATCGCTCCTTCGAAGGACTCAGCAAATCCGAGCGTGCCACGCGCCACTACGAAATGCAGCAAGCCGCCCGCAAAGCCATTCGCGACATCCTCGGTGACGAATCCAAATGGCCCCGCCCACTGATCTTCATTGGCCGCAACCTTCGCATCGTGCAGGCAAACAACCAGTTCCTGGGCTCGCCCGTCAACCGTATTAAGATCACAGGCACTTGGGCGTCTCGCGCGCTAGTCGAGTCTCCAGACTTGTCGGCATCGGAGAGACTGAGGAACTTTGGTCGCCACCTGCTGTTCCGTGTAGTCCTGTTCAGCACAGACTTGTTCTTCTGGTTTACGAAGGTGCGGCAGTTCTTGAGACTTGGTGGAGGTATGGAGGATAGCATTGAGGCACAGATGCAGGGGATGGCAAAGGATATGGGTGTGGAGTTGAGTCAGAATGTATTCGAGGGATAAACAGGCTTGAGATGGCTAGTTGAGCGTTGTTGGGGCTTGGACTGTATAAAGGGATATAGATGTATATGTACTTCTCCTCTATGGTATGCTCTATATAAAAGCAATAGAGAACACTCCGCTGTTATTATTGCTCCTCACTAGATTTCTGGGCTCAAACCTTTGTCACGAGCTCTTCATACTCACTGATGAATACTATTTCATCATAAAAATACTTCCTACGGAGTATGTCCATCGGAACTGAACCCAATCGACCCGACGTATTGCCGATGAACGGTCCATTGAGCCTCCATAGTGATACTGATTCACAGTGCAGCCGCCGATTTGCCAAGTTTCGGCCTACCCCACAGCAAGGATCCATCCGTACTCCATAAAAAACCTACAATTCCAGCCCTACCACAGAGCTTTCAGGGGTCTAGCTCAACCATCTAGCTTTAAAAATAGTGCCTCTTCCCCCCTACAGCCCATAGCAGCCACTCATCTATCCCAAACTTCCCATCCTCAAGACCACATATACAACCTCCGACAAAAGTCACCACCACACCAATGTACCCCAACAACTGAAAATGGTATCAACCGCCATCCAGTCCCTCTGTGAAACCCTCTCCTACTACCTGATCCCATCCCCAGAATGGAGCCCCTTCTGGGATAGTCTATATGACGGGCTAGGAACCTGCATGATCGTGTGGATCCAGCTCTACTTTTTCGGCATGTCGACTCATATCACTATTCAACTTACCGGCTTTATTGCCATGCATCTTGTTACGTTCCCCATTGTAGCTTGGCATGCCTACTACGGTGATGGATGGATGGAGGAAGCGGTGGACAGGTGTCTGGGAATTGTTCCTGTGCTGGTTCTGGATGTGGTTACTGTTTGGTTTCTGTATTGGCGGCGAGACGAGAAGGTAAGAGACACTGGCAATAAGCTCTAGAGGTTCCAGTCAGCGTCTGTCTCTCTATGTTTCGGCATGGTAATTTGCAATCCTGTCTTCAATACGACTCGTCAGCAACCAAATGCTTCCGGCAAGCGGCTGCCTTAACATGCATTATTCACGTATTGGCCCTGCACTGTATCCTTTCTACTTATCTAGAGTTTAAACCATCGTGAAGACGGATTACACTGGCCCCTTCAAGGGCTGATGAATTACAGAAAAGGATAACGTTCCGAACCGATCCATATCTGGCCCCCTATGGTCAACATCCTTCTATCCTCGGCTCCAATGTCGGGCAAATCGATCTGACGAATATCTGCCTTGCTACAGTACATACTGCACGACGATTACGGTATGTTACATCAGAACTAAGTGGTAGGTTTCCTAGCGTGAGTCTTAACCTACATTTCGGAAGTTTCCTAAGTACTTATGTAGACCACAGAAAGCCTCGCTATTAAGCATGCATTTCCAGAAATTTGCCTTGGGCCTTCTGTCTATTAGGGTCTACTGATAAGCATCTATTACTTCTATATCTGCACAATCTCCACACTCAAACTTTTACCTCTACATCCCCGCTTCCAATAAACAAAATCCCCGGAATCATGCATCTGCAGAAACATAAGCACTAAACCTTAATCTCAAGCCCTACCTCCAGTTTCTTCCCTCTTCCCCGTTTCTACAGCATGATTCATGCCTTCCACCCGGTTACTCCCCTCCCTCCCATCCACAACCTTTTCATCCCCCTTCTCCTTCAACCCGAACCCATTCTCCTCCAACTCCCCCAGTAAAACCACCCTCCCCATCCCCAACCCAACCACAACCCCCACCAACGCAAACGCCAACCCCACAAACCACACCGTCCTCAACGCCAGCCGATACACCTCCCTAACCTGCTCCCTCTGCACCACGTCAAGCCCCGCCCCCCAACTCCCCGCAAACTCCGCCGCCGCGCCATACGCCCTCCCGTCCAGCAACCTCTCCCTCAGCTTCTCATCAGTGATGATCCTTCCCGCATAGACATCCACCCGCGCATTAAACACAATCCCGGGTGCCGTAGATCCCCATACAAACGCCAGCGAGCGCAGGAACGCATACACGCCCGTAGAACTCGCCGTATCGGCAGCCCCCAGGGAAGATTGAATAGCAGGGAGGATAGTCGTGGCTAGGAAGCCCTGGCCTAGTGCAGCGGGGAGCTGGACACATACCCATGCTGCGCGGGGAGAGTGTGCGGAGAGCAGAGTGAAGAGGCCTAACGCGAGAGAGAGGGCCGCGAAGCCGATGAAGTGCAGTGGGCGGCACAGACCCGTGCGGGACATGATGGTGCCGGCGACCATGGCGAAGGGGATGAGGAAGGCACTGTAGGGGAGGAGGTCAATTCCTGATGTTAGCGGGGACTTGCGCTGTACTCCCTGGAAGTAGATGGGGAGAAAGTAGAGGGTCCATTGCATGAGGAGGGCGGCGTCGAAGGCGAGGATGAAGCCGAGGAGGCTGTTACGGGTGGCGAAGAGGTGGGGCGGCATGCAGGGATGGGGACACCATCGGGCAGGGAGGGCTTCGTAGATGTGGAAGAGAATCCAGCCCGCGATGCCGATTATCAGGGGGATGAGGGTTGAGGGGGAGGACCAGGGGTGGAGGATGCCGCCGCCGACGAGCGCGAGAAGTTGGGAGAGGATAGACCCGGCGAAGAGGATGTTGCCGGGCCAGTCAATGCGGAGGAGGGAGGGGGAGGAAGAGGGTTGGGGGGCGTCGAGACGCAGGAAGAAGAGCATGAACAGAAGTACGGGCCCGGCGAGGGGCAGGTTGAGGCAGAAGACCCAGCGCCAGTTGGCTTGGGCGAGGGCGCCGCCGAGCACGGGGCCTAGGACGGCGCCTACAGCTGCGAGAGATAGTACGATGCCTAGGTATTGGCCGCGCTCGCGCTGGGGGACTAGATCACATACGATCAGGTCCACGAGGATGTAGATGCCGCCTGAGCCGAGCCCTTGGACTGTGCGGCCGCCGATCAGTTGGCCCACAGTGGAGGCGCCGCCCGCTAGGCCGCTGCCTAGGAGGAATAGGGCCACCGAGATTAGGATGGGGTTGCGTCGGCCATAAATGTCGCAGAGCTGCGCGAGGAATGGTTGTATGATTGTCTGGGCGATGGTGAAGCTGTTGGCGATCCAGATGTAGTCTGTTTCACCGCCGAGAGAGGCGGTTACTTTGGGGAGAGCAGTGCTGATGATGGCGCCGTCTAGGGCGGAGACGAAGGAGAGAAGGCAGAGGGATAGGAAGACGAGCCAGAAGGAGATGGGGTGTTTGCGTGGAGGGTGTGGGTGTGTCTCCATTGCGTTGAGGGTAGGAGGATGAAGTGGACTTGGGGCTGTGCGAAGGAACGTGAAGGGAGCATTCCGTCTGGTGGGAAGAAGTCTACGTATTAAATTAGAGGCTACATCAACGTTGAATTTGATCGTTGCGTGACATGTCAAAGAGCCTTTTAGGGGTATTTGCCAGGGTTCAGTATTAGGGACCTTCCAAGTAGACCACATAGGAAGTAGCCCAACAGTCGTTCAAATCCCACTCCAACACAAGTGTCAGGCTGATCGTCTCAGGAATTTTACCCGAACGGGCCAATTCGAACTTTACTAGTTCATAATGTTCTTTGTGAGGTGTCGTACTATAATCTTACGTGCGACATTAGCTTTTGGCCTTAGCGAGGCGCCATTCGAGGCGGGGGCAGGTCAGAGCAACAGAAGCCAGCCTATTACTCAGGCACTAAACTAGGCTGCATAAGGATCAACTAGCTAGCCACCTCTGGAGTCTCGATCCCAAGGCCCCTCTCTTTCTTTGACCCTCTTTCTCTCTCGCGATATTCAACCGCTTTAATGTCAACGGCTGTCACTCACTAGCATACCGCTGAAATATGGCTCCCGCTACTGGCACTACCTCCCGTCCGTGGGCCGATGGCCCTTGGCCGTTGATCGAAACACCGTCCAAAACACAGGATATTGTAAGTAGTACCTCGGTCACGTCCGGCCCCAGACCTCCTATTCTGGTGCCATTTGCAAAGGCGGAAAAACCGATATCACAAAAGCAAAGTTAACAACACACAGTCCAAACATGAGGCTCTCTACATCGCCAATGAGATGGCCTTCGCCCATAACGCTATGCTTCGGGGTCTAAACGCCCTCTATCTGCAAGCTGAGCAGATAACTGAATCACAAGACATTGCCGATTACCTAGTCTTCCTCCGCAGCTGGGCCGGCTGGGTATCCCACCACCACACCTTGGAAGAAGAACAGATGTTCCCTCAATTCGAAGAAGTGATGAAGAAGCCCAATTTCCTCGAAGGAAACGTTAATGAGCACCACGCCTTCCAACCCATCCTGAAGCAGCTCCTCGCGTACGGGACAGACACCAAGCCCACTGAATACAAAGCCTCGACCGTGCGCAGCTTAATCGAGCAGATGGCACCTAGTTTTCGCGAGCATCTGGCCAATGAAATCACCAGCCTCATGAGCATGGAACCTTATGACGGGCCTGCTTTGCTCAAGGTTTACAAAGAATGTGAAGCTGAAGCGGGCAAACAGGATAAGGTGAGTCACTTTATCCACTGTATCTGGTAAGGAAGTACTTTGTTAACCAATAACAAAAACCATAAATAGAATGTCATCCCGCCCATGGTTCTCGGCCTCCGTGACATAACCTTCGAGGGTGGAAACCAGTGGCCCGCTATGCCACCCTTCTCCACTCATTTTGTGCATTATCTGTTCGCGCGGAAGCATGCTGGTGCTTGGCGTTTCTTGCCTTCTGATACTTGGGGTAATCCGCGCCCGTTGGCATTTGGGAAGCCCTAAATACTGGAGAGATACTGCGGGGAACGAACGGAGTTCAGTGGATGAGTTCGATAATGATCAGCGGGATCGGCAATCTCTTCCTTTCAATACAAGTCTCGGCTTTATGTATGACCACGTCCATGGTGCAGTCACTCATTCGCAGCGCTACACTTGGCTGCTGTATGAAGTGTTAGGCCTTTAGCGTGTAGGCGATATCATGTTGAAGTGATAGCAGACCGCACTGCCATTGATACGTGAATTGAGCAATTGATTGCTTTGATTAGCCACCGAACACAACGGAGTGTGTTTATTAGACATCAAACTTCCGGGAGCTAAACTAGTTCAACTATCAGTTAGACCGATTAGAGATAGTATAAAGTATAACCAGCAGAGTCGAACTGTAGATAGAGATGCGTACTAGAAGACTCGTGCATCTGGCACGGCTAACGCGATGGGCACTGGACCCTGAACGGGGCTGTGGCTCGGAGAAGTCTACGAATCTGTCTGAATATCCGGCTGGGCGAAGCTAAAGTGCGTTACAAGTTCAATATCAATCAGTAGTTTTCAAACTTTCGATACCGCATTGCCCTGCAGAATGCTGCGGCAGTGCATAGAATGCCTCAATATCTTACGCCCAACACAGCCAACACGAGAGAAGACTGTAATGTTGCGTAGTCGCAAGCGATGCTTTTGAGTCACCATGATGGCTATGAACCTAGCTACTTAAAACCCCTCCGGCCCGTGAGAGTCATAGACGGAAGAAATGTCCGATGGTCAAGATGACTGTTGCCAGATGAGCTTCCTTGACAGCCAGGTCTAAAAGTAGGAAAGGCAAAATTGAGCAACAGAAATAGCAGGAACAGATGAAACAGAGTGATTAGTATTTCAAATTATACCATATTAACCAGACAGAAGCACATTTCTATGTATCGTGCATGATCCTATGATAGTAACTTAGTGCCTTCGAGCTGCAGGAAAGTGGGGTCAGACACGCCAGGCTACAGTTCCTGCGTAAAAACACAATGGATGCAACGTGCCGCTCTTCCCCTTCAGCCCACTTGTTCCTCTCTCCACAACAAACCGACACCAATATGGGTCAAAACTTGGCTTCAACTATGTCACAATCCCAGGAATTGTATCATAAACTAGACCCTACAGTGAAACAAATCCGTCTCGTTACTATCAAACCTGGTGGATGGACAGATGACATACAGTGCACACTTCGACACACATCACTAGCCAAATCAGGGCCCTATGAAACTCTATCCTATGTCTGGGGAGATTTTACAAATACAAAGGATATTATAGTGAATGGAATGACCTTCAACGCCACGGTAAACCTTGAATCAGCACTCCGTCATCTACGCCGTGACACTCCACGGACTATATGGATTGATGCGATATGCATCAATCAGCTAGACCTGGAAGAGCGCGCTTCGCAAGTGGGCTTTATGCGTGATATCTATCAGGGAAGTACCTTGACCATTATATGGCTCGGTGATGGGGATGAACGTGTCGAGTCACTATTTGATCTCGCTCGAAAGTTTCACGATGAAAGCTACACAGGTTCGCTTGCACAAGAGAATGTGGTGCGCCTGAGAGAATTTATTCACAACGAAGATCGATCGCACAGCTTGGAATTCCTGGCCACAGACATATTGAGACGACCCTGGTGGACCAGAGCATGGGTGCTTCAAGAGGCCGTGGTATCCGCGGAACTACTAGTGAAATGTGGAAACCACGAAATTGCGTGGGAGTCCTTGTGGTGGCTTACCATTACTGAATACAAGGGCACACACCTTCGATTTCCTGTCCGAGTCTCGGCCGGGGAGCTTGAAAAACTACTGAACATCCAGATAATGAGGGATGCGACCAAGAGAGGCCATGAGATATCACTTACGCAACTCGTTGCTTGGAATAGACGGCAGCAGTCAACGGATCTCAGGGACAAGATATTCAGCCTCCTCGGCTTGGTACGTGGCTTTCCGGAATACCCTATATATCCTGACTATTCTGCGAATAACACACTACTGGTTGTGTGTCTTTGCCTTGTAGAGCAGTCTATCAGGAATGGTAGCCTGGACGTTATATCCTTAAGCCAAGGAAGTGAGAAACCCCAGTGGCCATCTTGGGTACCTGACTGGGATGTTTACTCGAGCGAAAGATCCAAGACTGCAAACCCCTTGGTTTGCTTATATGCAGGTGGGGAGCAATTAGAGGCAAGAGACCTTTCGTCTAGTTTCGCATCCGACTATGACGCATCTCGGTCACTGTCGCCTCGATTCAGATTTCATCTCAACCCACCGGCCTTAAGCGTTGTGGGCACTTCGGTTGACACCATTGATTGCCTAGCGGCAACATACCAGCCCGAGAAACACGAGCAATGGGCATCATCGAGATGTGATCCGTGGGTGACCCTCTTAATGTCTTATTTTGAGGGCGCATCTCATATTTCGGAACTGTCAAGCTGGAGATATGCGGCTCACAAATTTCGATATTCCGTGCCGATGAAGGGATTTGGGTCGAATATGTATACGGAAATGAAGGCTTATGTGTCGATGGCCATCAAAGTAATGAAAAAGGCGAGGGAGTTGAGAGATGGCTGTAACTACGTGGGCGGGGGGTCGTTGGCCGATGCATACTTTCGAACACTGATGGCAGATACAATCGCCATTGGCTACAGGAAATCAGATCCCCTTGCGCCCCTTTATCTCGATGAACTTGTCAAAGGCGTGTCTGCATCGCATTATAAAATCTCTGAAGAAGATGATACTGGCGATGTCCTTGGCGAGCATTTCTTAGAGATGTACTGCACTTACGCGTCAATATTTGATTCGACTATTACCAGGGCAACCTCATACCGTCGACTGATAATCTCCTCAAAGGGCTACATAGGCCTTGTACCACCAGGGACTCAAGAAGGAGACCTCATATGTGTTCTTTATGGTTGCTCTGTTCCTGTTATCCTACGCAAGCAAGGAGATAACTATATCTTCGTTGGTGAGAGTTATGTGCATGGCATCATGGATGGGGAAGCAATCGAGCAGATGAATAAGGGATTATTGGTCGAAGAGGAGTTTACTCTAGTATAAACCAATGGTATGTGTTCTGCTGCCGGTTCTGTTAGCTGGGTTGCTAAATCTTGTTCGATAGCGTACAACTTAGCCTCTTGGCTGCAGCCTCATTTGGATTCGAATATTTGCTGCAAAGGATTGATTAGACATTAGTGCATAGCAACTCCGTGTAACCACTATCACAATTAGGAGCAACAGCAGTAAATAAGAGCAGTCCGCATCGACAGAGCTACTCAGCAGATCAAGTGCAAATAAATATACCATTAATGACTAGCAATACCAACTATTTGACCAAAACAAGCACGACAGAACATGGGTATCTCCATCAAGATCACAATCAGTCACCATTATTTGCATAAGCATATCCCACTCCTAACTGCACTGGCACTATACAGACCAAAACCAAACGCAAGAAGATAAACATAGCATCAACTGATACATAGAACCAAGTGATGAATCCCAAATTATATCCCCGATTCATATCCCATATACCCCACCGGCCTCCACTCCTGCCCCGGATATGCCGTACTCGACATGATAATCTCGGGTTCACTGGAAGCATCACTATCATGATCATCACCTCCGTCGGCGGCGGGGACGGGGAGTTCAATGGGAGTGGAGACGAGGGCCCGGGGTGGGGCGGGGCGGTGGGGATGTGAGTTTGTCTGCGTATGGGGTGTGGGGCCATTGGATGCTCTGCTGTCTCCGTTTTCTGCTTCTTTCGGAGTGTTGAGGGTTGGAATGGGGTATGCTGTCGGAGGAGCATCGGTGCAGGTAGGCTCTCGGCATAAACTTGCGGTCTTGATTCGCGTATCCGGGGTTGGTGTAGGGGACGGGGATGGAGAGACGTGTGATTCAGTATCGGAGAACGAGACTTGCGCTGTCGTAGACGAGTTGTCGCGAGGTGGAAGTTCGGACGGGGATACTATTGACGGAGATGCGACTGATTCTGGGATTGTGGATAGGGAAGAGGGGGAGACTCCAAATGAGGTATCTCGTGTTGGTTCTGGTTTCCGCATTGGATGCTGATCGATGGTGGTGGCAGTGGTGATGGCAGATTCAAGTACATCACTGGCCTCCCTCCGTGCCCTGTCTCTTTCTTCCACCGTCACTTCAGCCTCATCATGCTCGTCAGTATCTCCGCCCAGTCCGGACAGACTCAACTTCCATGGCAACTCCTGATCGCCCACTCGACTGGTTCGCGGTTTGCGTGCAAACCGCCCCAGCTCAATCGCCGGGTCAGTCGCGTCCGTATTGGGTAGAGTCGTCTCCTCCGGTCGGGGCGCGCTTTCCTTGGGACTGCGAGATCGGAGGTGCAGTTCCTGCACGTACGTTCGGGAGGTGGTTCGGCCGCGCTCTGGAGAGCCATTGCTGGGATTGTGACTCGGTTCGGTAACAGTTTTCGTGCTATAAAGATAGTCGTCCGAAATGGAAGCAGTATTAGGGAGAACAGGAGTTGAGGCATGCGGGACGAATATGGGTTGGCTCTGGGCCTGGCGGAAGGAATCTGGGGTGGGGATGCGGGGAAGACTCGGCGGCAGATGGGAATGACTGTCGCTGGCATTGGCGAGGCCGTGATCTAGCGAATAGAAGCGGGTATGGTTGGAGGTGTGATTTATTGGACGCGATGGGGACGCCGTCGTGGAGCGCTGGATGGGCGTCTCAGGTCTGGAAGCTTGGTTGGATTGCCTCGACTTGGGTCGGTGGGGACGAAGGTTGGTGCGGAAGAGGCCCTGGATCATGATCAGTTTAACCTTCTCAAACCCTCCTTCCACTCCTTAATGACAGCGACGTACTGTTAACCGATCCAGAAGCGGCGGCTTCTGCTCCGACGATGGGCTGCTAGGACCCAAGGAGATGCGACGAATGTCCCGGATTTTGTCACCGTACTTCATCTTCAGCGCGGCCAGGCGTGCGTGCGGGGTGGAATCCTGCGATCGGGAGTTCGCTCCTGAGGTCGCATCCCGACTCGGCGGTCGGCTTGGCCTCAGTGAGGACATGCTGCTGACTCGTAAGTGGCCCGAAGGTGGATGACGACCGTTGAGCGGACGCAGCAAAGACCGATCATTGCCGGTCGCATCCATCTCGGGGTCGGGGTGATGACCGACGATGGAGGGCAGAGAGAGACTGGACGAGGCAAGAGGCGCTGCGAGGGAGACAGCCGTCAGTTCAGCCGATTCACTTCCCGAGCGAACGAGGCTCTCACCGTTAAGCGCCAGGGCGAAGGGAGGATCAGCAACCGCATCCTGAGTGCCCAATGACGAGATTGATGGTTGGACTGACCCCCGCCGAGGTTGAACAAAGG